GTTCTTTATCTCTTCATTTGATGTTTTAGGGTTTCAGGATTGTTGTATTCTCTGTTAGGCTTAGTTTTTCAGATCTTTGCTGTGGAGGGACGGCGTGGTGCTTCTGCCTAGAGCGCCATTTTGCTGGAACTCCTCATTTGTATTTTTTAAATTTGAAATTGTATCAGATGTTTCTTGGTCAAGATGACCACGTGTTTTTTTTTGTTTTGTTTTGTTTTTAATTTTAACCTATTAATGTGATAACCATCCTTATATTCATGAAATAACTTTTATTCAGTCATGGCAAAACAACTTCAATATACTATATAGGTTATAAACTCATGTTCTAGAATCTGACTGCCTGAGTCTCAATCTTATCTCTACTTATTATGACCATGAACAAGTAACTTAGATTGGGAAGATAATACCTATATCAGAGTTGTATGAGAATCATTTCAGAAGAGTCATTCAAACAACAGTCTGTAGCATATAGTGCATGTGCGTTAAATGTTACAGTCTTTATTGTCTGTTAGAATAATGCTGATTTTGTTAATAGTGTACGCATGATTCTTGCAAAACGTTTCTAAGTGAGATTGACCTGTAGGTTTCTTTTTAGATGCTGTTTTAGTTAATTACCTTTGATACCTTTTGGTATCAGGGTTATGTTAGTCTTATCAAGTGAACTGGAAAGGTTCTTCCATACTCTAGAAAATTTTAAGTAACATCTGAATTTCTGTTTAACGAAGTAATAAAAATTTGGCTATTAAGACATCAGTGTCTTCAAGATTCCTAGGGATATTTCTTTGACACCATTTCCATTTCTTTCATGGCTATTCATCTTTGCAAATATTCCAGTTAATTTTAATTGTTTGTATTTTCTTAGAATATAATTTATTACCATCCAGTAATAAATTCAAAGTTATTATAATAGTATCATACATAATATAATTAAAATGTTTAAGTTTTGTTAAGATATGTTATCTTCTTTCCTATTATGTTACAATAGCATTGATACCTGCTATTTGTCAC